ATTTTCCTGCTCAGTTTCTTCTCTATCTTCCGATTCCTCTCTTTCGCCGGAACCCTAGATTTCTCGAAGTCTCTGCTTCATCATCTGCAAATGTAAGTCTCTTTCGATGATTCTCCTCTACGTTTCTGCTTGATCATCGACTTTTGAAGTCTTTTCCCTTCGTCTTCTGTTTTGATTCTACGGCCAAACTCTAGAATCTGAGGTTTCATTTCATCGAAGATTCTCTCACTTTCGAAATTAGTATTCATATATTTTCTTCGATTTCATTGGTTTGATGAAAACGATTTGGATTTGTTCTTTAGATGAATATGGAAATGGAAAGGAATCTGAGTATCGTATCTGCTCGTAACTATGACACTGGAAATCATCGATTTGGTGCTTCTTCTTCTAAAATGAAAGTGGAAGACGAAGAGACGGGTTTATCGCTATCTCAATGGCTTAATCCATCTAAGGTTCCACTTAGTTACCTTGCGTTGCTCAACGAAGAATCAACAACACCTGATGAAAAAGCTCAAATCGATTACGTCGTTAAGAAAGTGGTTCTGCCAAATCGTGGTGATGCAGCAGCAACTGGTCCGGGAGGAGGAGGAAGAGGAATTAGAACACTATACTCAGCTTCAGATAAAATCGGTTCTTCTAAGGTGAAACCTTCAATTCGTGTACAAAGCCGCACCAACAATGATGAAACCTGTGTAAGAATCACAAAAAAATCTCTGTTCAATTCCATTTATGTATCATCAATTTCTGAAGCTAGTTGCATCTCTTATGTAGGGAAGTAGCAGTAAGGTCCCTGTAGGTAAACGATCCTCACGCAACAAGTCGCAGCATCTATCATCGTCTCAAGTCTATTCTGAGGTCAAGTTCATCAATATATTGTTGAAGTAATGTTTGTTCTGAAAAGTCTTTTTCTTTTGAAAGGGCTAACTTTTGTGTATTTGTACCAGAAGCTGAGAAGTTGGAAAGACCGGAGTAACAACAACAACAACCGTGACTTCTCACAGCTCTATGGCAAATACAGACATGTACCCTCGAAGCAATCCAACAAAAACAAGAACAGACCTTATGCCACAGAGAATGTATGTAACATAGAATCATGCTTTTTAGTGATTCTATCTGTTGTTTGAGGTTATATAAACCATTGGTTCAATGTTTTATCAGGAGCGGAAGCAGAAAATTGAGGAAAACATCAAGGCATTAGGAGAATTGCTCGCACATGAAACTAAGGTATAAAACTAAACATGATTAGAACTATTTCCACCAGAGCTTTGTCATATCTCATATATAAGTCTGCGGCTTGTAAGTGATTGTAACTTGAATTTTGATGTTTGTTGTGATCTTGTAGGACTCCCCTGAATTGATACTGAATGATGTCATTGCTCATGTTAAGCTTCTGCAGCTACAGATGAAGGTATTGTCTTGCTTCTCTTATCCTTCTTCTTTCTCACCTTGTTATTTTATATAGATCAGCAAATAGCTATTATAGGTTTCAGAACTGAATTGAACTATTTCAACCAGAAAATCTATCGAAAACCAACCAAATCAATCAAAAAACTCTGAATCTATTTACCTGATTGATCCACCCTATAGAGAAAACTTGCTGATGTGAGGTTTTGGGGTTTATTATGGATAGGAACTAAGTCGAAGCAGGTTAGGAGGAGAATCAATTTCTCATCCTATGATATCTATTGAGGTAAATGCAAATCATACAACTAAACCAAACATCTGAAACCATAAAAATGATTGTGCTTTTGTGAAGAATGAATCTTTGTTGTTTTGTTATAGGGATTTGGTCACTACATTCATCACGAGCAAATGAAGATAAAACCGTTGGAGGAGATAATGGGAGATCTGCTTGCAAATGATTTTGAAGGTGCAGCTAATTTGTTGGAGACCAAAGGCCTTTACTTGATGCCTTTGTCCTCAGATCAAGGCTTCCCCTGACTTATTTGCCCATAACCTCTCTTCTCATTATGCAATCAAACTCAAAATGCCTACCTTAAAGCAAGTATAGATAGCGAAAATCTTAAGATTAAAAAAAAATGGATATGAAATATCCTCAATACTCGGTTTTGTAGAGGCGATTAAGGAACTAAATCTTTTTAATTTCATGGTTACATACATGTTTTTCTTAATAATTTTGTTAAAAATTATAAATGGGCCAGTTGCATAGAGTTTGGGCCTCAGCTAATAATTCACGTCGGTCTAAGTTCAATTACTTGACCAAAATGCCCTTCAAGATCATATGAAATTACCTAAATTAGCCTGAGTTTCCTAGCCGCGTAAGTTTCCTTCCTACAATTGGGTTTGGTCCTTCTTCTTCCCGATAAACAATTTAATCTCACAATTCTCAAAAAACAAAAAACAAAAAATCTCATCCGAATTTGCGCCTTTTCCGGTACCTTTGCTCTGTCAATCCTCTCACCGGAAAATCTGGGAAGGTTTGTGTGTGTGATCTATCCATCTATCGTTCTTTACTTCTTTTTGGATTTCTGAGAAACCTCCTAGAGAAGATCAAGGAGAATTGATCCTACTTGTTTATTTTTTCTCTGTTTATGTTCATATCTTTCGATTCTGACGAGGAGGTTGATCTATTCTGGTAATCAGAGTAGTTTTCGTCTCTAATATCCAGAAAGATCGGAATATACTGATTTGTATTTAGGAAGCTTACTTTGATTTCAATCATATCTCTCTCTCTCTGTTCTGTTTGGATTTAAATTAGGGGTTTAGTGTTCGTTATGATCTTAAACGTATAAAGTTTTTGATGCAGCTGATTTTGTTTCTATTTAAATCGGTTTTACAAGCAGCTTTTAGGGTTTTTGCATTATGGACTTGTGATTTTACTGGTTAATTCGACACTTTCTAAAAATTTGTTGCCTTTTAGTATTCCTTGAATCATCCCAATACCCGTTTCACCGTTGTAACCTATGAATAATCGTTTGTTTTTTGCTTTCTTGCAGATTTGCTTCAAATTTCGCTGATGGGTTACAAAATTGTTTACCGATCTCTCACGGAATTATTTCCACAGGTTAGCTCTTATCTCAATTTTGACTCGTGGATCATGATTGTGGTTATGATATTCTCACAAAACAAAGTGTTTCATAAACTTAAGTACCTAAGTAAGAAACTAGGTGTTTGTAGAGTAAGCCTAGATTTTACAAGATGCTCGCTTCGATATGTTGTTGAGGTTCAGT